TTAATGGCACTATTTCGTTTGATTAATTACAAACAGTTATATGGAATAGATAATAGAATGAAAAGAAAAAGGAAGATAAAATCAATATAGTGATAGTGCACAGTGGTCAAAGGAGCATAGCTTTCTAGTTGACCACTGTCTACTATTTCATGATATTAACTAAATGAGATAAGCCAAAAAAAAACAAATTGTGTCCCTAAATAACACAATTACAAAACATAATATATAATCAAGACTATTTACAAACTATATTAATTTATTATTTTTCTAAATTTGATCGGATAGCAAAAATATTGAGTATTATCTTTTAAATATACCAATTGATTCTGAGTTTTTTTATGTTTACAAGTATGTTTTCCCATATTTTTGAAGCAATATATTTGAAAGTGTGTATTCCATAATTTGTTCTTACTTTTTGTCTCGTGAAATTCAATTTCGATGCATAACGTGTATTATAAGAATGGATGCTGGAAGCCATTGTAAGGAAATCCAAAAAAATAGAAGGCACAGCCTTTTTTTATGTGCAATAATATAACTCAATGTAGCAATGCGCAGTTTAAATATATTATCTAATTTCAAAATCCCAAGTAATTTATAGTAAATAAAATGCAATGAAAATGCTTCTGATACATTTGTTTTGTTTTTTGCATATTTTAGTCAGCTTGGATGCATATGTATTACCCCAACTCATTATTCCATAATTCAAGTAAGGATATATCAATGTAAAATAGAGTTGTTTCAGCATCTTTAAATCAACGTAATATCTCAGTTTATTAATTATACCATAATTTTTATTAATCTTAACATTAACGTGTTTAATTTGATGATCCCAGTTCAAATACTCATCTAAATACACGCCTAAATATTTAACATAACTTTTCTGTTCAATATTATTTATATGAATTTTTGCAATTTTTCGATTGGGAGACGTAAATACCAAAAAATTTGTTTTTTTAAAATTTACTGATAATTTATTAATTGCACAATATTTAAATAAAGCTTGAATTTCTTCATTCATTACAGTTTCAAGCTCATTGGCATTTTCACACGAATAAAATACACTTGTATCATCTGCAAAAATCCGAAAATAAAGTTTTCTTGAACAGTTCGAAATATCATTTATGTAGAGCAAAAATAGTAATGGTCCAAAAGTAGATCCTTGTGGTACACCACAAAGCAAGTTCAATTTGTCAGATTCAGTATCTCCTACTCTAACATATTGCTTACGATTTGTAAAATAATCAGTAAACCATAAATGAGGAACACCACGAAAACCATATTTGTTCAGTTTAGAAAGCAGTATTTTGTGATTAACCGTATCAAATGCTTTGGAGAAATCCAGAAAAATACCACATGTTAATTGTTTCTTATCAATGGCTGTTTTTATATTATCGGTAATTTCAAGAATAGCTTGTTCAGTTGAATAGCCTTTTCTCAATCCAAACTGATAGGGGAATAAAATGTTGTTTTTCTCTAAAAACAAGATCATTTGGTCGTGTACAATTTTTTCCAGAACCTTACTAAAGGACAATGTTGAAATAGGTCTGTAGTTATTGGGATCAGTTACGTCACCATTTTTATATATGGGAGTAACTCGTGAAATTTTGAAAATATCAGGAATAATACCAGATGTAATAGATTTATTGTAAATGTATGTAAAATGCACTGATAATGGTTTGCATGCAATTTTTATCAGCCAGTTTGGTATATCAAGCGAGGCTTTGTTTATTTTCAGTTCGGAGAATAGTTTAGAAACCTGTGACTCTGTAACAGTAGACATTACAAAACTTGACAATGGTGAATTATGGATATAATCAGTTGGATTGGAATTTGTGTGTTCTGGTATTATGTTGGATAATGACAGACCGACATTAACAAAATGCTGGTTAAATTGCTTTGCTATATGTTATGGCTTAGTAAAGACTTGGTTGTTGTTTGCAAGTCTATTTGGCTGTACTTGACCTTTTGTTTTACGTTTAATAAAAGAGCCGATTAATTTCCATGTGTCTTTCAGATTACTTTTACATTTATCAAATTGCTTATTAAAATAATTCCGTTTACTTAAAGACGTAATGTAATTAAGTTTATTACCATATGCCTTATACCTGTTAGCTTTTTCAATATTATTGGAAAGAAAATGTGTACGATACATATGTTGTTTGTTTTTTATAGACTTTAAAATACCATTAGTTATCCAAGGTTTATCAAGCTGTTTCTGTTTACTATTTGATACTGTTTTAATTGGTGCATGTTTATTTGAAATGATCTTAATTGAATTTACTACATGATTAGTTATTTCATTGAGATCACCTCCTTCTTGATATAGAGAATTCCCAATTTTTTCAATGTCATTTAGGTAATTCTCACTTTTAAACTTAGTGTAATCTCTAAACACTCTTCTTTTTTTTTTCTCTTTGTACACATATTTATTATAGAAAAGACAGGCAAATGATCTGAGAGATCAAAAAGCAAAATTCCAGAACTAATCTGATCACTATAAGCATTAGTGTATATGTGGTCTATTAATGTTTTAGTATGATCAGTCAGTCTTGTTGGTTTAGTGATAATAGGAAGAAAATTATTTGCATATAGAATATTTAGATATTTTTCAGTGGGTGAATGGCTGGTAAACTTAAAAAAATCGATATTAATATCACCGACTATATAAACATCATACCTATTACTTTGATTTATTCGCTCAAACAACTCTTCTAAGTTAGTTGTAAATTTATCAATGATTCCACTGGGGTGTCTATATATGCATCCAATTAGCATATGCTTTTTTCCAAAACCTGGATCCACTTCGACCCAGCATCATTCAACTAAATCAGTATGAAACTTAATATCCGGCCTAGGAATTGCTGACAGATCATTGGCAACATATATTCCCACACCACCTGCATTTGTATTTGAATCAGTTTGGTAGAAATTATATCCAAGTAAATCAATATTAGTTACTGAGCCTTGACTTAGCTAAGTTTCAGATATACCTATTATATCAGGTTTTCTTGAAAAGGTGTTTGCTAAATCACTCAAAAGTGAAATATTTTTTGATAAACTTCTAATATTGCAATGAATTATAGACAATGCTTTAGAACCAGCCTGATCTAACATTTTCTGCATGTCATCAACTGTGCAGTAATTAGATACAGGTGTATTAAGCATAATTTCAGAGTCATTTTCATCAAATTTGTCAGGATTAGGAATAAGATGATAAAGATCTGTATCTATATCTATTTTGTTTTGTATTTTTTATATCTATTTCTCGAGACCAATTACCAATAAAAGCATTGAACTGTTGGTGAGTTAGATTATTAAGTGGTAATTCTTCAGCAAGTAATTGATTATCTTCAAAGCTGGACATATTGTACTAAAGTATGGATTGTTTAAACTTAATTGATATATTCATTAATTTAAAGTTGATTTGAATGACTCAAATTCGCTTTCTTTAGTAAACCCATAAACTCTTGAATTCTCATTTTTCCTTAATAAAATTTTACCATTCATAGTCCATAGGAATTTGTAATCTTGAGCCTTTCTAAAGGAATTGATTTGACCAAATAATTTTTTGCGATAAGCTGTAAGGGATTCGTTTATATAAATTTTCCCAGTTTGATTACTTCGGCTGCTACCAATTTCATTCGCAATATGAGGTAAATCTTTGACGGACTTGCCAGCTAACCTACTTCGCCTCTGATAAAATTGATTTCTCTTATCTCGGTTTACAAACTTGACTATTATACGATCTTTAACTTTCTTACTTGCAGGCAATCTATGAGCTGTGGATATGTCCCTTTCATCAACTTGAACTTCCATTAGATCACCCAGCTCCTTAGCTAAAATCTTAGGATCGTCTACAGAAGTGACTGGAATACCTGTTATTTCGACGCAGTCTCTTCTCAGATATTGTTGAATTTCATCAATTTGTTCATCGTAAATTGATATAAATTCTTTATTGCTTGATGTTTGCTCGTATAGGAGTTTGATATCCTTCTCAGCATTTTGAATAGACACATTTGTTGATTGTAGGGTTTGGAGTAGGGAGTCGTATTGATCAGACAAGAAATTCTGAGATTGTTCGATTTCAACACATTTACTCGATAATTTCTCCAATTCCCGTTTGATACCCGCCAATTCAGAACATATTTCTTTCTTTATACTAGGGAGAAGCTCTTTCTCCCATAATCCTTTAAAAGCCTCAACAGTTAAGTAGTTTAAAGACATAATTTCATCAATTTTGGCCTATACTCAATTTTTTGACCGCCATCTTCGAACGGAACGAAAATGTTTTCAGCCAGAGATTCCTTATCACCGGTCGCCATTTTGACTATTGGCGTAAGGTATATACATCAGGCATAAGTATATACATCAGAGGCAAAGTACAACCGCTTCTGCCACACGGTCCGCACATACGGTGGCTTAAAATGTCTTAAAATTGTTAATTCTACCGATAAATAACTTTTTTTTATTGACTGGGATTTCAATAACCCGGACTGGGATTTCTAATAAAAATCCAAGTGGGACTGGGATTTTGCCAAAATATCAGGTGGGAAATGGGACTCCCCCCCCTCCCCCTTCAGAACCCTCTTAAAAATGCATTTAACCTCGATGAAGGTCGTCGTGGATTTCCTTAGACTAAAGTGGATTTTATTTACGGTCTACTATTATGGTGTTAAAATTATTTTTTATATATGTATATTTACTATTTTTGTTGGATTGTAAGCAATTTATATACTAGACTTGCTCCAAGTCTCTCTTTCATTGTCATATAGTATCGATCCACTATATCGTACATTACATGACGTAGTACGGAGGAGAGAAGCGAGAAAGAGAGACTTGTCAACTTCGGAAAATCTCGGTTTAAAACTGAACCGAAAATGCAAGACTTGCTTTAATTATTTTCTGTCAGTGTTTATATGTATTGATCTAGCACAGTGTAAATAACATGAGTTCCATTATAGTAAATATACAGAAAGAAATTGAAGGAAAACAATTAAAGCAAGTCTTGCATTTTCGGTTCAGTTTTGAACCGAGATTTTCCGAAGTTGAAAAGTCTCTCTTTCTCGCTTCGCCTCTCCGTACTACGTCATGTAATGAGTGGATCGATATGGCAATGAAAGAGAGACTTGGAGCAAATCTATTTATATACCGGCATTGGGCAAATATATAGAATGCAAATGTTGTTTTATATTTTGTCAGTTGAAGTGAGCTGATACAGACAGTTGAGTTGTGAAAGCATGAACATTTAAAACTATGTCCATGTTTTTGTTTGTCATATAGATTTATTAACATTATTTAACGCATATCGAATACATTTCTGTTCATGGCAACGTGCCAAAGAGGGGTTTTGAAGAGGGCTACAAGAAAACGTTAGTGTTTCAACAAAGAAAGCAAGCGCCACCATTTTTGAAGGTGACCCTTTCAATCCACTTATATTTACAAAAGAAGGAGTTGTCAAGGTCAATGCGAAAGAAATACCTGGTTCTCAAGTGGAAACCGTTTGCAGGAGATAGCAACCTTGAACTGACAGAGAATGAGTTTCTAAGATAGCAGTCGAGAATGATTGAATGTGTTGATGCTGTGACGATTGAAGAGGCGAGAGAAATTAGAGAGCGCCAGGATATCGACCAAGAAAGTGCAACATATACGAAGCCAAGACGTGCAAGAAAGACACCACATAGGCTACTGACGATTTTGTATATTATGATTAGTAAAGGTGATACTTTAGTACTTTAATCGTTGGAACAATTGAAGAAACTATAAATGCAATGCTGTTCATTAGATCTATTTTTTGTTATGTAATAGTAATACTGTCAATACTTCCACGAAATCAAATAACTATTAAACATTATAGTCTTCTTCAGTATTGTATTTTTCAAATGAGCAACATCTGCAGGCTTGTGATTGTATTTTTCTGTTTAATTTTGTTAAAGTGAACGTATGTATAAATATAATGGATGATAGCGAGGATAAACTGTCAAATTTTCTGAATAACGAAACAAAATTTAATTTATAAAGGGGAACAAGGGAGCATGGTTAAATTTTGGAAGGGAACAAGGGAACAAAGCGAAAATTTTGAAGGGAACACGGGAACAAGTACCCCCCCCCCCTGGGAGACCCTCACAAACGTTTTGCTTTTACTGTAATAATATGACAGTGTTTGAATGACAAGATGAAATATGTGTCAAGCCAAATTGATTAGTCTGTAAACAATTCGAAACGGCAATATGTTATATTTTGACCGACTGGACGCATTAATGTTCTAATTTCGATACAGAAATCGTTCTCATGCATTGCTGTTTATTTTGATAAACGAGATGACTCTTGAATATATTTATTTGGGCATGTAGTAAAACATGGACTGGACTCATTAGTAAAACATGGACTGGACCCGATTAGTAAAACATGGACTCTATTAGTAAAACATGGACCCGATTAGTAAAACATGGACTCTAGTAGTAAAACATGGACCCGATTAGTAAAACATGGACTCTATTAGTAAAACATGGACTCTATTAGTAAAGCATGGACCCGATTAATAAAACATGGACTCTATTAGTAAAACATGGACTCTTGTCAAATCTTGGACATGGAACCTTGCTTGTCAATCGAAAACGAAAGTATTGTTAAATCAGAATCAGTAACTCTCTTAGGAGTAGAACTTGATGACAAGCTTACCTTAAAGAGTCATGTTCGTAATGTTGCGAAAAGTTGTTTTTTCAAGCTCCGCAATATGCGTAAGATTAGAAAATGTATTACTGAAGATGCAGCAAAAATAATGGTACACAGTATGATTACATCAAGGCTTGACTATTGTAATGCTATTCTATATGGGTTACCAAATTGTGACTTGGACAGGTTATATAGTGTGCAAAAGCTGGCTGCACGATTAATCACAGGAACAAGAAAGTACGACCATATTACACCGGTATTGGAAAGACTCCACTGGTTACCAGTGAAAAAGAGAATAGAGTACAAAATTCTGTTACTTGTGTTTAAATGTCTCCAAGGAACTGCACCAGAGTACTTATCCGAACTGTTAAAAAAGCGTGAAAACAAAGGCACTAGAGCAGATGACAAAAACCTTTTGGTTATCCCTAGGTTTAAGAAGGTTACCCAAGGTGGACGATGTTTTGAAAGATCTGGCCCAACACTATGGAACAATTTACCAGACAGCTTGAGACTTGAGACGATTTTAGCATTTTTAAAAGACGTTTAAAAACGCACTTTTTTGAACTTTCTTATAAGTAAATTAGGTGTAGGTCACATTTTTAAACTTTTTTACTAGTAAGTTAGGTTTTGTCCATATTTTTAATGTGGTATGAATGTAAAGCGCCTTAGAGTACTGTAGATTCGGCGCTATAGAAATTCTGTGTATTATTATTATTATTATTATAAAATGTTTATTTTAAAACCATGTTAATAAAAAAATATTTGAGGTCTCAAAGCACAATAAAGGTTTAGAAAAAACCTCTACTAAATAGCATAACTTTAATCAAAGTCTTTGTGTTCCGTCGTCCATCAGGCATCACTCATCACTTCGACAAAATTGTTTGATTCTTCAAAAATTGTTACCTTTGAAAAGCAAGAAACATAACCAGGAAAGTCTAAGTGTCCTCCTTTTCCTGTCCATGGCTTAGGAGTGAAAATCGATGTATTATTTAGGGCATGATATCGTTTTCTCGAAACCTTTCTTCTTTATTTATATACTAGAAAATACATGCATGCAGAAACCCTCGCCGTGCTGACAAAACCATTGTATTTTCCGAACATGAAGTATCTAAAGTAGTTGTCATGGTAACACGATAATTTTATAAGAATATTCTTACAAACGGAAAATCGCTTAAAAATATCACTTTAAATTACAAAATTATCAATTTCCCAACATATATATGTTAGATATGTTATTATACGTAATATAAGCTTCAATTTAAGGTAAAATTCAACCACAAACGCTTCGCAAAACGTTTTTAAAGTGTTCTTTATAAAACTAAACTGCCTTTAATTAAATTAT